TCAACTAAATGTCTAACCAAGCAAACAAAGAGAAAAGGGAGCAGTGGGGTCCAGTTTAATCTAGTCCCAATCGGCGGGGCCAACCCATTCCACCGACACAGTAACTGATAAAAGCAGTTTTCCCACTGCTGTCGGCACAAAGTAGAAAAGTACTGACTAGATTCAAATCAGAGAAATAAAGCGTAGCCAGGAGCCCTCCAGGGTGCACCTATACAGTAGTGGATACAATCCAACCAAACAGCATAAGAGAGCTCAGAAATTCAGAGAAAGGTAAAGAGAATTTTAGTGGCTTCCAGACCTCCGGTCATTTCGATGGCATGGGAATGAATTCCCACCATTCTCATGCATCCCCTGTCAGGGGAAACCTGCCCAAACAAGGTCTTCACAGTGTAGGACTGATCTTCCCACCTCTAGTTATCCAACAGGAAAAGCTGCTGCCAGCCAGAGGGAGCATGCTTCTCACAGGCTGAGAGGAATTTAAGTTGTAGTTGTCTGGTAGTCATTTTAAAGAGGAAGAAAAGAGAGTAAAAGAGAATAAAATATTGCCTTGTCAGAATTTACGCTGAAGACTCCAGGAGAGACTTACCAACAGCAGAGACATGGGAGCAAAATAGTCCCAGTGGCCACTTGCCTCTTGCAGCTAGTGTCTTCTCTGGTGCCCAAAGCTATCCAATTTTCACCAGTAATTAAATTAGGCTCTTGGATTCCAAGGTCATAGAAATGAACGATGTACCCAGCAGTAAAGCAAGCAATGCTTTACTAAGAGATAGACTTAAGCATAAGGGGGCTGGGCTCCCTTCTTAGTGGCTGAGTGGGGGCTTCACCCCTGGGGATGTATGGAACTCATCCATGGGGCGAGGAACTCTATGGCAGAACTGGCAATGGATTTCCCAGAGCAAACAATGTGAAAGGACATGTCACTCCTCGGGGCTCAAGTAAACGTCACCTAGGTCCAAAAAGAAGTGTTCGCTTCTCTTTCGGGGATGCTAGGGGGCACTCAGACATAAACAAAGGCTTTTCCCTCTGCTACGTGTGGGACCCCTCCCGGCTCCCTCCCTGCAGTGGAGGCGCAAACAAAGGGTAGGGAGCCCCCCTTTTCCTGAAGGAGAGGGATGATCACACAGGCCTGCCTGGCCTTGTCCCTCGAGACTTTAGGTCCATCTTGGCTAAGGTGCACCCATATAAACCCCAGGCCTGGTCCAGTCCACCAGGGACTGGAATCACCGTTATGCCGTACGTGACCACAGAACTGCAGATTAGAACCCACCTGGACACTGCAACTTGGAAGTCTTGGTGCCACAAATATCACACACTCACTCACCCACTCAGAGGTTAAACATTTCCCTCCCCCAAACCCTGACCTGAGCTGAACAAAAGGACCCTGCCACAGGGTCCCAACCAGATGGACCTTACTACAAGGTCTGGCAGAAACGCTCAGGGACCAATTGGGCTCTCAAGGAGACCCTTCTGGGAGGTGAGGTAATCAAGCTCCCCTTCTGCCTGGAGGTGGGCCTGTACTGAACTGACGGGGGAGGGTGCCTACCTGTCCTGCAGAAGGCATTTGGGGAAGGGGGGAGGTTCTGGCTGGTCCTTCCCTCTGCTGAGTCTGGTCAGGCAGGTGCTCCCGCAGACTGGCGAGGTCCTGACAAAATGGCCGGGTGGCACCTCCTCAGTCCTCCATGGCATTGCCGATCCACTGGGTTGCCCTGCCCAGACCAGTGGCTCAAGGAGCCAGTCCAAATCACTTCCCAGCCAATGCGCCAACAATGTTATGGAACGGACTTTGACAGAGAAGCGGTCGGCACTCAGAGGGTTGGAGAGTCAGGTATTTTATTACGCTGGCAGGCCCGCTAGCACTTCAAAATCTGAGCCCCAAGTTTAGGTTTTACAAGGCTTTTATAGGCAGACTCTTCTGGATTGTAGGTTTCAGTTTCTCAGCACTCACAAGGCTAATACAGCAGTAACTTTTGTTTCTCAGCATTTATGTACCCATTTCAATAAGCAAGCACAGTTTACACAAGTGGGAGTGCAGAGCCGTTGTTTATCAGTAAAGCTGATAAGCAGGTTCTGTTTTAAAGGCAAAACAAGATACTGAAAGAATTAATTCTGAATTTTTTCAACACTGGTTCAACACATGAGAAAAAACAAGCAGTATGGGCCGGCCCGGTGGCGCACTGGAGAGTGCGCCGCTTGGGAGGGTGGCGGCGCTCCCGCCGAGGGTTCGGATCCCATGTGGAGACCGGGTCCCGCCCACTGACTGAGCGCGGTGCGGGAGCAATGCCGAGGGTTGCGATCCGTTGCTGGTCACGAAAAAAAACAAAAAGGAAAAAAAAAAAAAAACAAGCAGTATGGGCCGGCCCGGTGGCGCACTGGAGAGTGCGCCGCTTGGGAGGGTGGCGGCGCTCCCGCCGAGGGTTCGGATCCCATGTGGAGACCGGTTCCCGCTCACTGACTGAGCGCGGTGCGGGAGCAATGCCGAGGGTTGCGATCCCGTTGCCAGTCCCGGTCCGGTACGGGCGCGACACCGAGGGTTGCGATCCCGTTGCCGGTCCCGGTCCGGTACGGGCGCGACACCGAGGGTTGCGATCCCGTTGCCGGTCCCGGTCCGGTACGGGCGCGACACCGAGGGTTGCGATCCCGTTGCCGGTCCCGGTCCGGTACGGGCGCGACACCGAGGGTTGCGATCCCGTTACCGGTCCCGGTCCGGTACGGGCGCGACACCGAGGGTTGCGATCCGTTGCTGGTCACGAAAAAAGACAAAAAGGAAAAAAAAAAAAAAAAAACAAGCAGTATGGGCCGGCCCGGTGGCGCACTGGAGAGTGCGCCGCTGGGGAGGGGGGCGGCGCTCCCGCCGAGGGTTCGGATCCCATGTGGAGACCGGTTCCCGCTCACTGACTGAGCGCGGTGCGGGAGCAATGCCGAGGGTTGCGATCCCGTTGCCAGTCCCGGTCCGGTACGGGCGCGACACCGAGGGTTGCGATCCCGTTGCCGGTCCCGGTCCGGTACGGGCGCGACACCGAGGGTTGCGATCCGTTGCTGGTCACGAAAAAAGACAAAAAGGAAAAAAAAAAAAAAAAAAAAACAAGCAGTACATAAAACAAGACAGTATATAATTATAAGTGCTAATGTGGTACAGAAATGAATCTTAAAAACAAACTCACTTCTTCCTGACTTCCCTATTTCTACAAATGGTTTCATCTTTCAAAAGCCCCTTTTGCCCCCACCCCCAGGAGCCCAGGTTTGAAACTCCACCATTAACTACTACTTCTCTCTCCTCACCATTCTTATCAGTCCTGTTGTCCCTTCTGTCTTTTTTGGCAGCTGGCCAATACAGGGATCTGAACCCATGACCTTGGTGTTACTAGCACCACTCTCCCAAGTTCAGTGTCTTTTAAAATCCCTCTCTTCCCTTCTTATCCCTGACCCCACCCCACCTCCTTCTCACCTGTTTCCAGAACTTCTGTTCTAATCCATCCTATGTAAAGCCCCTGTATATATCCTCCTAAAACACTGATTCACTGATTTCATCAGTGGAATGGCGACCTGATAACTGTAGAAATGTAAACTTCTTCGGCTGGCATTCAAGACTTTCCAGAATTTGGTCCTAACTTCCTAACTTTATTCTCTCCCATTGCCCCAGGGAACTTCCTGCCTTAACCAGCCAAACACCTCCGTTACTGTGTGCCCCAAACAGGTCTGCTCCCTCTACATCACCATGTAGTGTTTTCTTAGCCAACTTTTCCCATTCTTGAACTATTCCACTGTGGTTCAGTGGATAGTTGGGTGGTTCAGGACAAGTGTTTTGACTGGAGTCAGAGTGTCCTCTTTTTGTGAAATTGTGGCAGTAGTACCTGATTTGCTAGAATACTTGGAAAACGAATTTATTGAATGAATGTAGAGCACTTTGAGCTCCTTAGAGAACAGTTCCATATATACAGAAGGCTTTGTGACCTGCCTGCACCTGCAGATTTTACAAATGTAATCTTTCTCCCTTTTGGGATGTGTTCCCCTTTAGACCTAGGTTCAACTCCTGCAGGGAGTTTCTTATTAAGAAAGGTCAGGCAATTGGAGGAAACAACCATCACCTCCAAGAGCCAGGAGGCTCTACTGAACAAGAGGCCCCAGCACAAGGCAGCACCTTCGTTATTTATTTATTTATATATATTTTTAGTTCCTAGGCATCTTACCTGGCTTCACCCTGTCCAATTTTTCTCTCCATTTAAAAAGGCCTCCAGGTCCCCTAATTAACCCTTCGCAGAGTGCTGCCTGCTAACAAGGTTAACCCACATTTCCTTCGTAGCAATATGAATTGAAGACTCCAGCAATATGCCGCTATAATCACAGCCTCCAGACTGTGCTCCTCAGCTTTACTCAAAGTAGGTTATCAACGAACGACTCGTCAGGATGTTCGTGTGCATGTGAGGGGGTCCCCAGCACCGATTTAAGCATGCTTCGGTCACTGCAGGAACAAGGGAGAGCTCTGCTGTCTATCGTTGCTGCCTGCGGAAAGTTACTCTCACTCAAGCATCCTGCCTGAACGAAGCGGTCACTTCCCGACTACACGGTCACGATTCTGAAGCTGCCGGGCGTGTGTACGGTGGGCAGCACCCACCACTCCCGGCGCCGCAACCCAAACCCGGAGCTTCTCCCTTCGACAGGGACTGGGGCGCAGGGGGTCCCGGAGTTCCCGCCGGGCGCGGCGCCACCACGATCTCCCCAAAGCGCCGATGCGTGTCAGCCCGAAGAACTTGGCTGTCGCTCACCCCGAGCCTGCGGGGCCGCGACAGGACCCCGCGCTCACGCCGCCGCAGCGCAAGGAGCGGGGGTCAGGGCGCCCTGCTCGGGAAGGGGCGTGACCGCCGAGTGCTCGAGACTCGGGCGAGGCCAGACGCGGGCTGCCAGGCGGCGCCGCCCCGCGGAGCCCGGGGAGGGGACGTGGGGGCGAGGAGAGGGGCGGCTCAGCGGCCCGAGGGCAGGCAGAAACGGCAACGGCTACTCACTCAGCCAGGACTCCAGGGTCTCCCCTTCCGCCTCCGCCATATTGCAGCCTCCCGGGCCGGCCCTGCGGCCTCAAACCTCGCGAGAGTCTGTGAGAGACGAGTCGGGGCGGGGCCTGCATGGGGTCCTGAGGGGAGCGAGCGCGGCCACCGAGTGTCGCGCCGGACTGCAACGGATATTGGGAGAACGAGTGGTTCCTTTTAGCTCTTCCCTTTGGGCCTCGGCATGAGGGACTCTAGCTCCCGGATCAATGGGCTGAAACGCAGATCTAGGACCCAGTGGAGATTTTAACCCGTCTCGCGTCACTCGCTCAGGCGCGCCGAGGGCAGTCCTGGCGGGGTCCTCGTAGCCTGCCAAGATGGCCGCCGCCACAGTCGGGGCTGCGCGAGGGTGGTCGGGCCTGACGCCGGGTGTACGGCGTGCTGTCTTGCGGCTTCCCGGGTGAGAGAGTGGAGGGCAGCTGGGGGCGCCGCTTGGGTCTTCACGGAGGGACCTGCGAGGAAGGAAAAGGGCCACAGGAAGGCTGCGCGGGACCTCGGACAGAGCACTGCCCGGAGGGCCGGGATATCTGGAATCAAGCCTTCCAACTAGCTGCGTGACCTTGGGCCAAACTGAAGGCTTAGGGACGGCCCCTCGCGTGAGGGGCCGGGCCGATCTAGGGACCTAAAAGTGCTGCCCTGCTAAAGAGCTCAGGCGGGGATCGCCTACGTGTTGGGAGGTTGAGGAGAGATGCATAGGCGGGGAGTCTGTCCTTACCATTAGCACTGGACAAAGAGGAGACTCTCCTGAGCTGGTTAGGAAGGTCTTCCTACCTCATGGGACACGAACCAAAGTGATTGTGGTTCAGGCCTAGCTAGCGGTCTCCGCGCCCCTCTCCCTCGTGGCGAGTGGGCAAGCATGCCTATTGTTAAGTCAAGCATATCCACGTGTGGAGTCAGCTTTTGCCCGCCTCCTGCTCTTCCCCCTCCCAGGCTAACGCACGTGAGGTGGAGCCGCTATGGTCCTGAATATAGGGATCCCGTGATCGACAAGGAACATTACCGCAAGCCTGTGGCTGAGCTCACTGAGGACGAGAAGTATGATCAGGACCTGAAGAAGACTCAGCTTATTAAAGCTGCTCCAGCGACGAGAACAAGCTCTGTGTTTGAAGACCCAGTGATCAGGTTAGAGGGAAACAAACGTTATTGCTGCATGGACTGGGACTGTCTCAGGGAGGGTCTACGGTGAGGATTCTGTGATACAGCTTTGGAAAGCTAAACATGCTGCTTTTCTCTTTGAAGTAAATTCATCAACATGATGATGAAAGGAGGAAACAAAATACTGGCCAGATCTCTGATGACACAGGTAAACAGTACCTTTCTACTGTCCTCTTTTTTCCCTGTAGCTTTGTACTTGGTTCTTTCAGTTTAGTTTTTCTTTGTTTTGGCAGCTGGCTGGTAAGGTACAGGGATCCGAACCCTTGATTTGGTGTTATAACACCAAGTTCTGACCAACTGAGCAAACCGGCCTCAGTTTAGTTTAAGAGAGAAGGAACACCAATGTCCAGAGTTCAGTCCTTGTACCGGCCAACTTAAATAAATAGGTAGATAGAAAAATGAGAATGGATTCCTAGACTTGTCATTAAACTTAACTTCCCTGATCTGGGTGGTTGATACAGATGTGAAGAAAAAAAATTAACTTCCCGCGTGTGTGGGGGTGGGAGTTTTTTTTGTGGGGGGGCGGCTGGCCGAATTGGGTATCCGAACCCCTGATCTTGGTGTAACAAGGTTGCGCGCTAACCAACTGAGCTGACTGGCCAGCCTTGCTGGGGGCTTTAATGAGTTAGTGTCTGCAGCAGTCAACAACTGCCATCTCCGCGCCCGCCCCAGATCACAAATCTCAGCCCACTCTTTCTGTCGTAGTCTAGCAAAGGGGGAGGCACTTAAAAACTTTGTCTTGGATATGCTAGGGAGCTGCACTGCTGCAGAAGGACCAGACGATGGGAGTAAAGGGCAAGGTACTAGCTGAGCTGAGTAAACCCTTTGGAGCCTGAGGCAGCTTCTTCTACTGCATCCTTTTGCAGACTCTGGAAGCTGTGAAAAGGAAGCAGTTTGAGAAGTACCATGCTGCTTCTGCAGAGGAACAGGCAACCATCGAACGCAACCCCTACACCATCTTCCACCAAGCTCTGAAAAACTGTGAGCCTGTGATCGGGCTGGTACCCATCCTCAAGGGTGGCCATTTCTACCAGGTGATGGTCAGGCAAGAAAGCAGGGCTGCCCACATGGGAAATAAGATGGGGGTGCTTAGGGGAGGGAGGGCCCAGAGTTGGACAAGATGGATATCTCTCCAGAGACTGGGGATTGTCAGGACCTATTCATCTGAGTCCGGTAGGGTAAAAATCACAGGCAGAAGATGGAAAAAAAGGAAAAGAAGTATCTAAATGACATTTTCTGGGAAACTATTTCCCTCCCCTTCTTCTGTCCACCATCCTGTGTGTCTTAAACTGGAAACTTGTCATGGTGAGGGACTATGTTTGTTATATCTTATCTTTACTCATTTTGGGGGAGGGTTTTTTGGTGGCTGGCCAGTATGGGGATCCAAACCCTTGACATTGGTGTTATAACACCGTACTCTAACTGAGCTAATTGGCCAGCCCTATATCCTGTCTTTATATGCAAGTGTCGGTCATAGTGCTTTACCCATAACTGATGCTTTATTACCGTTTGTTGGACTGAACTAGGTGTCTCTGTCATAACATTTAATGATATTTCATTGTCATAGTGGGTTTTCTTGTCTTCTTTTTCAGTATAAACTCCTTTAGGGCAGGGACTTTCTCATTAATGCCTACATCTCTAGCATGGTACCTGGCACATAGAGGGCCTGGCAAATGATTCTTGGACAGAGGATCTTGTTTTTAGGCACCCATGGTCTGAGGTGGCTAAGTCACCCCAGCTAACGGGGCTTTTCCCAGTTGGTGCTTGTATCAATTTGGCAGAACCTCCATTTAGGAGGAAAAGAGGTCAGTGCTTCATGAACGTTTGCAGAATGAATGCCTCTTACGCCTGCTGCGCTGAAGTCACCCAAAGCTGAGGGAAGCTCTCCTTCGGAACCTTACTAGGGCTGGTCCAGAGAGAACATGCAGCCACTCGGTAGCGCTCTGGCAGGCCCTTGGACCAACTTGCCCATGTCCTGTCTCACCCAGGTCCCTGTGCCCCTAGCTGACCGACGTCGCCGCTTCCTGGCCATGAAGTGGATGATTACTGAGTGCCGGGAGAAGAAGCACCGGCGGACGCTAATGCCAGAGAAGCTGTCACACGAGCTGCTGGAGGCTTTTCACAACCAGGGCCCTGTGATCAAGAGGAAGCACGATATGCACAAGATGGCCGAGGCCAACCGTGCCCTGGCCCACTACCGCTGGTGGTAGAGGGAGCGGAGAGGTTCCCGGAGCCCAGGCCCTCTTCCACAGGAAACAGTGTGAGCCGCTGCCATGCTGAGAAATACCTGTGGGTTACGGACGTAGTTCTTTTCTGAGGGTGGACAGGCCTCACAAGAAGGATGCAGCAGCATGTTTACTGCCCATTAATCTTTCTTCCTTTGGGGCTAGAACTTGTTCTCCCTCCCCATCTCCTTATAAAGAGGAAACATATTGACTTGGGGATTTCCTTCAAGAAACTCAGGGCCCAGTTTTCTCTTCCCTCAGATTGGGGTGGACCTTCGGATGATAAGAAAGGAAGCAGGTTTAGTATCAGAAACGATTTATTAGAAAATTCTCACACTGAACTGCTGTAGCATGTGATCTAGTACTAGCATTCATTAAAACTGGAGGAAATACACTCCTTTCCAAAGTGGTCCTTGTATAAAACGTATAAAAAAGAGTTTCTGGTGTGACTTGTGCTCTGCCTCTGCCCCTTGACATCCCGAAGCCTCCCACCAATGGCTGTGGCTACCCATTTTACAGATGGGGAAACTGAGGCACCAAGGCAGCTGTTGCACCATGGTTACACAGGGCAGTGGTTGTTTGTTAGGAGTTGGCCCTCTCTGCCCGGCCCAGGTAGAAGGTGGTGGGAGAGAAAGGCTGATGGGACTGTGGGGGAAGGGGGCACAGTCTTGAGCCTAGTGACCAGGTCTGTTTGGTGGGAACTGCCAAGCCGAAAGTGGAGGAGAAAGGCTTGGGGCAGGACCACAGTGTAAGTGGGGAATATCTCACCGGGAGATGGGAAAGTCTAAAAGGGAAAAAGTATGGGAGAGGTGGGTGCAAGAAAGGCCAGTGCTGCTGGTGAGGAAGCCCTGATCTGTAGAACTAGTCAGAAACCTCGCTGTAGTAATACTTGTGGGCAGCCGGGGTCATCTTCCAGCCGGCTGCCCGGAACTCAATGATCTCCAGCAGCAGCAGCTGGGCCAGGGAGCTGAGGCCAGTTGGGAGCAGGAAGCCATCCCGGATCAGGACAAAGAGCTCATCCATGCGCTGCCCATTCATCTTCTCCAGCTGCTCCCCCACCCGGTGCAGCTGCAGCACCAGGCAGTCCACCTGCAGGGGGCAGCGAGGGGGGGGGGGACCCCTGGGGAAGCCCCAGGCAGGGCCAACCTGTCATCTTCCAGCCGGCTGCCCGGAACTCAATGATCTCCAGCAGCAGCAGCTGGGCCAGGGAGCTGAGGCCAGTTGGGAGCAGGAAGCCATCCCGGATCAGGACAAAGAGCTCATCCATGCGCTGCCCATTCATCTTCTCCAGCTGCTCCCCCACCCGGTGCAGCTGCAGCACCAGGCAGTCCACCTGCAGGGGGCAGCGAGGGGGGGGGGGACCCCTGGGTAAGCCCCAGGCAGGGCCAACCTATCACAGGACACTTACTGAGTGCCACGCACCAATCTTTGCCTTTACACCTGTTCTCTTCCTCCTGACATCACCCAGTAGATACGACCCACATCCTACGAGTTCACGAACTTGCCTTAGGTCCTCAACTAGCCAGCCTGGACTCAGGCCTGTCTCCAAACTGCTTCTTCAGCCCACTTCTCTACCTCCCCCACACTGCTTGACTCTGGTCTGGTTTCTGGGCCATCTGTACCCACAGCTGGCCTTGGCTCTCAACATTCCTATCATAGATCGGCTTTCCTACTGGGAAGAAAGCCTCTGAGCCAGAAGGTTTTGGCTGCTCTCTGTTCTGGATAAATTCCAGACCTGGCAACTTGTCCTGGAACGATGACAGGCCTTAAATGCCCCTACCAGGCTCCTGCCCCAGGAGTGATGCCCTCCAAGGCCTCCATGGACAATGGGCTGGCATTCTCAGCTGGGTCAGACTGCCCACATCCACAGCCTTCTGTGCCAGGGCCACCCACCTCCTCCTCCTTGCTCAGACTGTCCGGCTGGGCCAGCCGGAAGAGGCAGTCATAGACGGGGTTCACCAGGGCCATCATGGGCATGTTGTTCACCTATTGGGGAAGAGAAGGGGTCAGAGCACCAGGCTTAGTGGCCAAGGGGAGCAGTCCAACCTGGGCCTAGGAAGAAAGCCCCAGAGTGGCGCTGGGGGCCTCACCCTCAGGTAGTCAAAGATGTTGCAGATAAAGGTGACATAGCAGACCCAGCCCTGTAGGGAGCGTGCTCGCAGCTGCTCCCGAGCCTGGTACTCCTGCTGTAGCCGGTTGAGGAGCCCACGCCGGAAGATACTCTGGCCTGCTTGTTTACTCTCTGCCTGTGAGCCAGGGAGAGGAAAGTAAGGAGCAGGGGGCAGGGGGCAGTGCCGTCACAACCCCACCCATCCTATGCCTCTCTCTGCCTTTGAGCTAAACCCTTTCAATCTGTCCTGCTGCCCTCTGCCCTCTGGTGAAGCACCTTCCTCAAAGTAGCTCCCTTTACTCTACCCGCCCCCCCAACCTGAATGATGGCGTAGCACATGCGTCCTGCTTCCTTGCTGAACACACAGTCCTGCAGAGAATGGTCCACAATCACATTGGCCACTTTGTCCAAGTCCACAGCACCTGGATCTAGGGGTAGAGATAGGAGGGGAGTCTAAAGCTGCTGCTTTACTGCATTTGCCTCCACCTGCTTCTAAGGATTTGAGACCTATACAATAGAGCACTCCCACCATATGCTTAAATTTAGAGATCAGAAAACAGAGAAGGACAGTAACCACACATAGGGGCAGCTCTGGCTGTCAGCCTCCTGGTTGCCCAATTAGAAAACAGGGAGAGTTATGTGGCTGGTAGAGACCAAAGTAAGAAAGCTGGCTTCTTAGGGCACACATCTTCCCCTGGCACCAGGTTGAGGAAGGAACACTGAGTGACAAGTCTTCGACAGCAATTTCACGGAAGAACGTATTGTTATAAAATACATGTGCAAACCCCTGACAAAAATAGGCCATGCAGGGCTTAGCTTGGCATGTGGTGGGCACTGCTAATTGTTCGCTGAGTCAAAATTCTGTCCTGAGTGTTACAGAGAGAAGGCATCGGGCCAGGGCAATTACTCTATCTTCTCTGCCAAGTCGAATACTCTGTCCTCTGTCCCAAGTCAGGTAGCTCTGCACATTCCAGAGAGCCAGCTGCAGGAATGCAGAAACCAGCAATTCAAACATAAGAGCTTGAAGGGCAGGAACGATGCTCTGTTTTATGGGTACTTAAACTTTAAAAAAAAGGCCGTACAGTCTCAGAGGTGACTATGATTCATAACTCCAAATATTGGCCTAAATGTAGCTTGTCTCCCAGTTCGAGAGTTATGTTGCTGACTCCTATTCTCAGAAAGGGAAGGGAGAGGGCCGAGCACTCCCGGCCCCTAGGGCTCAACCCTCCAGTGCTGGCCCACATGGCCCCTTCTCTGCAGCTCCTGACCCCCACAGGAGGGGCTCCTGTGCTCACCTTTGAGTGCTGTCTTCAGCAGCTGCTGAGTGTCTGCATCAAAAGACTGGATTTTATATTCCTCTCTACTGGGCTCCCCCATGACTGTCCATCCAGCCCCAGCAGCTCTTTACTGGGCTGGAACTAATGACAGCACCTGGGGAGAAGAGGCGAAGGGAGAGGCCTCAGGTGTGGAGCGTGAAGCCCGGGTTCCCAGTCCTGCAGACTCGGTGGGGCTGGCCAGCTCTGGGGACAGGTGCTCCTGGGCGGTCCATGGTACTCGGTAGCTGGCTGAGAGCCCACTAGGCTTGTCTTCTGGCGGCGACTGGGCACCAACCAGGCACCTGCTGCTCAGCTTCGGAAACCCCAGGCTTCTGGGATCACACAAGAGTAAAGAGATCAAAGATGAATGCTCCAGTTCCAGCAGGAAACAAGGTTATTCTTCGTCGATCCCAAGGTAGATTTGGGGATGAGGGGGTACGCCGAGCTGGGGGTGAGGACAGGTGCATATTAGACTTGCCTTTATATACTCGTACGGATAAAAACCGACCTAGAAGCTGCTGGCGCAGCACGATTCCGGGCCAGTGACAAGGCTGGAGGCTTCGAGCTGCGGACTGCTCTTCCCCAAAGGTCCCGGGCCCCTCTCCCTAATCTTCTACCCCTCCACAAAACCCACCCCTCCAGCCCTCAGGTTTGGGCCGGCCTGCGTGGGTAGGTGCAGGCGTCTCGTCTGCTGCCCCCGACGGTCGGAGCCCGAATTCCCACTGTCCGGGCCAGTCTCTCCCCGGGTCGGACTGGGTACACTGGCGTCCCGAGGGCGGACACCTGGCCCTACCCCCGCAGGACTCCTAATCCCTGAGCTCCAGTCTGGATCCTTCCTCTTAAACGGGGGAGCGCGATGGTGCGCCCCCGAGAGGTAATACCCGCTGCAGTTCTCTCCCTGGACCCGGTGCCTCCCCTCTGGTCAAAGAAGGCGACCTTCGGGGTCTCCAGACCTCGGCAGCTTCCCCAAGCCCGGAACGCCCTTCCCGGGGGCGCAGGGCCGGCTGCGGAGCCCGCCGTCGGCTGGGAGAGTCCGAGAGCGCCGGGACCCACCTGTCGGGCCGGCGCCGCGCCCGCGTGCCCGGGGACGACTCCGCGAGCATGG